GCTCAAAAAGTACTTTTACTTTGTCCCAGGAAACTCCAGTCCCATTTATCTGAATTCTCAAGCCATCACCACTGTCCTTCCCTTTCCCAGGCTGCTCAGGAGCATGCACCTCCAAAAGCAGACCACTCCCTCCTCTCCCAGAGCTGTGCCCTCTCCAGACAGCCCTGAACTTCGCCACGGATTATAGGTGGGAAGGTGTAGGAGCACAGTCAGGTCTTACTAACTCTTACCAACCATCTTTTCAAAGCACAGCCCTGGTGGCCTTGCTTCTTGGCCATCTTATGCAACAGGAGAATCACAATATGAGATACTTCACGGAAAAGGCCTTCTCTTCCCTGAACAAACCTTTGATCCCTGCCTGTCCCCACGGGTCCTCTCCATTCAGTTCTGACTTCCTCTCACTAGCAAGTTGGGTATGAACCTCTAACTCAACTGGTTTTAGCATGTGGAGCAGTATTGAAAAACCATGGTCAAAACACTGATAAAGATAGGTAAGAGAATTACTACCAATATATACAATGGAAATTTTTAAAATTATTTTTCCAATTTTTTTTAAAGATGTTGCATACAAAGCCGACATAAAGCAGCAGTATTTAGCTTGTAAAATTCAGCATCTGAAAAAGTTAAGCAGTGCCAGATTTATACAGCACTATTCCAGCCCTTTTGTGAATACATACTATGAAAAGTCTTCATCAAGTATCATTTTCTGCACAGCTGAATCCAGCTACTCAATAACATAAAACAAGCTTATAAGAAAAACAGACACACTCCAATCATATGTTCAAGCTCTTCTGTACAACCAGAAAGGATTACTATTGAAATTACTTATTTCTCTCACAATCAGGTGACTGAAGAAGCTGCCATTTTAAGAACTACATCAAATATTAAGAATTTAGTTGTAAAATCAGCAGAGGTGATAAAAATGGAAATTTTGGGGAGAGGTAGCATCCTAACTTTCCAACCTCTGCCAGGTCACCAAAGAGAATCTTTTCAAAATATTACATTTAAAAGAAAATGTATTACACAGATTGTATTGCACAGGACTGGAATTTCCCACCTTTCCCATCTTTGAGTTTGCAAGTGTTCTTTTTAGGGTGCTGTCACTGCTTTTGACACATTAACAATCCCATACAGGAAAAGGCTTATGTGTTTAAAGCAATTATTATTATTCAGGTATTTAAACCCAAATTTGACAATTGCATTCCAACTCTGGCAACACCTAAAGTGTTTAAAGTATCACGTATGTCCAGACTTGCTCTTTTGCCCTTGAACAGAAATGCTTCAAAATGTAAATGTACTGCTCAGCTGCTGACTTGCACAGGAGTCCCCACAGGAGCTCCTCCTTGATGTGGCAGACACTTTCAAAGTTTTCACAAAATTCAGGGGTTTTTTTCCTTCTAAGACAAAGCAGAGCAGTAGTTGCTTTTGTTTCATGTCATGGCATAGTGGTCAGGGTGCCCCAGGAAACATCTGACCCTGGGAAGTCATCTCTCTGGCTGAGTGGCATTTAGAGCTACCTTCTAGGAGAAAATCTTGGCTACCCACCTGGGATGGTGTGGGTGGATCTGTGGCTTCCCCCCTTCCTGCCG